CTATACCTTATAGGCAACGTTAATATTTGTATAGCATAGGTATACCTACTTATAATAAAATACCGAACAATAGTGTACAATAGCGCAAATGCGAAATATKTACGTGTATCCATTTACAACGTAGGCATTTAAGTATTAGACTTTTATCCTTATTCCTTAGTATTTCAATAACTCTGGAAGTTTTCGTTCGAATTTTGATTGCAATATGTCAAAATTTTCAGAATAATTATGTCCAAATAGGAACATATAAATTTCGTAATTCGTACATAATACTACTCGAACACTTTTCATTCGAAAACAATTCATTCGGACGATCGACTATAGTTCCCATTTAATATATAATATACTTATAATATACGGTGTATTACAGTCGACTAGTCGAGTCTCGATAATTCAAATCTTCCCTATAGCCTCTTTAAGCGCTTTTGAGCTGTGTTTGTGATGGAAGTACTCGGAAAATATGCAAATCGAATTTATTTGTATTGTTCTTTAGATTCGAAAGTTTTATCGAGACGGCTGTTTATTRCCTACGTAATATTTCGTGGAAACTTTATGGATTTTTGCCGTTTCCTGGTCGAAAATTAATCTCGTTGGCCGTTGCCATCGGCGTAAATTGTCCGTCGTCGGTTAGGTGTGTTACTACCGGCCCGAACAGAGGCCTCGATCCTGTGACGTAAACAATGTCGTATACTATAGTCACACCGCATAATAAAATTCATCGTTGTCGTTGTTTACAAACGTCAACAGCTGCCAGAAGATCGCATTTAACGACAAGGAAATATGACGGTTTCGGAAGTACATATAATTATACGCGCACTGCAACAGTGCTTGCGATGTGTGTTATAACCACTAACCAGATCGTGTAGGTCAGCGGTTTCCAAACCTTTTTTTCACACAAAAATATTATAATTATGTGACATAATTTGTCAAGAAAAAAAAATTAGATATAATAATTATGTAAATCGGCTATCCACTTAGACGCGTCTAAATTTACGCGTTTTTGTAAAATCCTGGCCTTGCRCCTAGTAGTAGGCTATTATTATTAATACGATTTTCATTTTATCCATACTATTTGTATAGTAAATTATATTTATCATTTATTACAAAATATAATATCATATATAATTGCAAATATCAAAATTTGATTTTATCATTTTATACMATTTTACATTATTTTTATAAATAATTTTATTTATTATTTGTATATTTACCTCTCCTATTTTACAGGCTATATATTGTAATCGCACGTATATTAACATGTGAGGCCGTGAGGGTAACTGGTACATTTGATTGAGGGCAACTGGTAYATTTTGTTCTAGGTAGTTTGGGGGGAATTGGTATATAAAAAGGTACTTTTGGGGGCAACCTGGGTACATGCCCGTGCMCGTTTCTAGACCAAATATAGCCACGGCGGTGTCCTGACGTAAATACCACGAATGACTGGACTACAAAAGCGTGCTCATCGATAAGGAATTATAAAAAAAAAAAAGTTCTTTAAACTTTAAATTATTTATTATTGCGATACGACGACATAGACATCGCGGTGCCCTTAGAAAATACTCGCGATTCCCCTAATAGTGTACCGCGGTGCACAGTTTGGCAACCGCTGGTATATATAGGTACACAAATATTATTTACAGTGCGCCAGACATCTCATAATAATGTTATAGATCATATACAATACGAATAACAAGTTACAAAATGCGTCTCGTTTTGCTGAACAGTCCGGATATGCAGGACATTCCTGCAACATCGTACTCCGCCTATATGTATATACCTGTGTCACGGTAAAATAACGTATACCGAGGCGGTCATTTATTGTGACTTGTGTGTGCG